TCTTCACAACAAAATAATCTCCTCACTCGAAGATATTTTTCCATTGATTATTTTTCAGTTAGAGTGGGAGGGAGGGAGAGACATCAAATGGTTGCCTCCTGCATGACCCCAATGGGGGCCAGGGACTGAACCTGCAACTGAGGTACATGCCCTTGACTGGGAATCGAACCCATGACTCTTTGGTCCAATGCTCTAATCATTGAGCCAGACTGGCCAGGACACTTTTTTCCCTACTAATGTGAGCACTCCTTTGAGAGTTGCCACATTCCTATTTGTATGCTCATCTCAATTAATTTTTTGACAAGTTAAGAAACTTAAATGTCCCGCAGTCTTTTCTACAATCATTACCTTCAAAATAGTGTCCTCATTCCATTGCTTTCCTAATGATTAAATCTAGTTATGTATTAAGTTTTCTACCCAAATCACACGCATGGCGATACTTTCTTAAAAGAACTCTGTAATGGCCGAAGATTTGAGTGCCATCAAATATTTCTCCACATTCCTTATATTCACAGCATCTCTCCAAATCAGTACCTACTTGAAGATGAATGCCATCTGTTTTAAGGATTTACTGTTTCCTTCTACTTCATCTAATGCCCATGCTGCCATTTTTGCAATCACAGGGAGCCAGCGAGACACGTGAACTGAGTTGTATCAGAAAGGCCTGGCTTTCCATTCATTCCCAGTTCTCTGCATTAAGCAAAGGCACAGCTACAGCAGTGTTGGAAGAAAGAGACCACTACTATAAGAGATGGTTGTCTGCTCTAAAACTAAAGCATGCCATTCCAAACTCCTATGATTCCCACGTTTTTATGCCTGAGTCTCCTCCTAAGGAAGAAAAACAAAACCTGTAATTTCCACCTTTCAATAATCTATGCCTTTGCCCTGGCTGGTTTGGCTCTACAGTTGGAGCGTACGCCTGCAGTCCAGAGAGACCTGGGTTCGGTTCCTGCTAACGGCGCGTGCCTTGGTTGCGGTTTGTCCCCGGCCCTGGTTGGTCGTGCAGGTGGCGACCACTCGATGTGTCCCTTTCATGTTGATGTTTCTCTCCCTCCCACTCTATCAGAACAAAAAATGGAAAAATGTCCTTGGGTGAGGATAAAAAAAACAAAACAACTATGCCTTTACCAGACTCCCTCATATCATTGTAATTGTGTAATTCTAAAAATTCTTTATTGTATTTTAAGAATGAGATATAGAAAGAATATGTGGGCCCTGGCCAGTTTGGCTCAGCGGTTAAAGCATCGGCCTATGGTCCAGAGAGACCCGGGTTCGGTTCCTACTAAGGGCATGTACCTCGGTTACAGTTTTTCCCCGACCCTGGTTGGTCGTGTGGGTGGCAGCCACTTGATGTGTCCCTTTCACATCGATGTTTCTCTCTCTCTCCCCGTTTCTCTCCCTCCCACTCTATCTGAACAAAAAAATTTGGAATAATGTCCTCAGGTGAGGATTAAAAAAAAGAATATGTGGTAAATATACATGTAATACAGACTATTCACAGGAAATCTCTGGAAGCCTTTACCTATGACAGATTGTCAGCAGGTTCCTCTTTGGCTCCCTTGGTCAACTACTCACCTAACCCCATTGAATCACCTGAGTGGAGAGAATCCCCATGCCAGCTTCTTCTCAACCCTGGTTATTCTCTCAGGTCAAGTGTCATTACCAGGCCCCCTGCCTGCTTCTAACTGCCCTACCACAAGTCTTTCTTCACAAGCCCTCAGAGTGAGCTGTGAAAAGCCACACACACCTGCTCACTGAAAATCAAACTACCCCCACAGTGGAGGCCCTGTGTGCCCTGCTGAACTTCAGTTGCATGTCAGTACACCTGCTCCCCACCCATTGGGTGACTTTCTATTCCCTGATTATTCCAAGTCACCTGAAATGGTGTGTCTCCACAACTGGAAGCTCCCTTCACTACCATTCTTACAAGTATGCAGATTTTTTTTTCCCTAGGAATCAGCTTAAATCTCACCCCTGCAGTGTCCCCTAGCCGCCTCCTATAGAGTAATTCCCCACTGTTCCTGCATTACACCATGCTTTTTTCTCAGCACATACCACTGTTTATCTGTGTGTACACAATTATACCTGTGTAACTTGTTTGCAAAAGGCTGTAAACTACCAGATTACAAAGTCTCCAGTGGCAGGGGTTATGTCAGGTCTTTGGCTTTATTGTAGTGTTTAGTATACTGCACAGGCCACAGGTAGGCTTCCACAGGTGTTTGTGAGGTGCAAGGGAAGCAGTGGGGGAAATACCTCATAAAGGACTTTGTCAGAGCATAAGTGAGGCACCTGTTACCTCAGGTAAACGTCACACAAAGGACTCTGATGAAGTAGAGAATCAGGCACCTATCACCTCAAGGAAACATCACACAGACTGACAGAGCAGAGATGAGTCAGGCATTGTCACCTCAGGCCTGGCCAGAATCCTGCTGAGCCTCCCTGGCCGATGTTGTTAAGAGTGTCTCGGGTTCAATTACCAGTCAAGGACACATACCTAGGTTTCAGGTTCAACCCTTAGCCCTGGTATGGGTCATGCGGGAGGCAACCAATCAATGTCTCTCTCTCACATCAATCTTTCTCTCTCTCTATCCCTTGTTCTCTTCCCTCCCTCCCTGTTTCCCTCTCACTGTATCTGAAAATCAATGGAGAAATATCCTGGGGTGAGAATTAACAACAAAAAAAGAAAATCAAATAGACACACTAATTATGAGTTAAGGGATTGCTAAATTCAATCAAATATAATTCATATTCTAACAGGATTTTCTCAATGAGCCCTGCTAAGCTGATGGTGAATATTCATCAAGCAAACTAGGTGGTTGAGAACAGCTAAGAATGTATATTTCTACTAATGAGAGGAACTACCATTTATCCAAGTTTGTTATAAAGTTAAAGTAAGTACTTATTAAGCTATGGATAAGTATAGCAATAAGGTGTTTACTCAGAGACAGAGATCAAGGGAGCAGAAGGGCCCAAGGGAGTTTACACTCGATGATGACTGTGGGAATTTAGTCCATAATAAATGAAGGATTTCCAATAAGTGGCAGAACCTAGTCAGAACATAGGTATTGAAAAGACTTGTGCCTGCCCTGGCTGGTTTGGTTCAGCGGTTAGAGTGTTGGCCCACAGATTAGGGAAGCCCGGGTTCAGTTCCCGCTAAAGGCATGTACCTCAGTTGCAGTTTGTCCCCAGACCCAGTTGGGGTCATGTGGGTGGCAACCGCTCAATGTGTCTCTCACATTGATGTTTCTCTTTCTCTTCCTCCCTCCCTCCCGCTCTATCTCAAGATGAATGCAAATATGTTCTCAGGTGAGGATAAAAAAAAAAAAATGTACTTGTGCCTTACACCATATGCATGAGGAAATGCCAAATAAATGAAACAGCTAAAAAAACAAAAATAGCACTGGCCGATTTGGCTCAGAGGTTGGAGTATCGACCTGCGGACTAGAGTCCCGGGTTCAGTTCCCGCTAGGGGGTATGTACCAAAACAAAAACAAAAATACTAGAAAAGAAAGTATTTGCACAATCTGCCTATATAGGATGTGAAACCTAGAGTAGAAATAAAAATAACTAAAGTCCTAAAACTTCTTTATAAAGGTAGAAGATAAATGTTGGTCTGTTATATTTGCAATGTTAACATCCAGAATATATAGAGAGCCACCAAAAACAAAAAAAGTGGGAGATGAAGGGAAAGTATATGAACTCACAAAAGAGAAAATACTAACAGTCCATCACAAATTTATGAAAACGTGTAATTTGATAAGGAAAAAATTAACTAAACTGAACATATTTTTTCCTATTAGACCTTTAAACCTTTTAAAAAAAACACTACAAAACACTGGTGATGAAGGGGAAAAGTAGCTCTCATGCACTTGAGCAGCTACATGTATTTTAAAGGATTTTAGACAGCAATTTGTTGCTACATCTTGGTTGATTCTTAGGTTACATTTCTAGAATTCCTACCTACAAGAAAAATCAACATGAATGTGCAAAAAAATGTATGCAAGGAAATTTTTTGCAATAACTTCAATGTCCAGCAAGAAAAAAAAATGTGGACTATACTGCATCTGTTAAAATGAATAAAGCAGCCCTGGCCAGTTTGGCTCAGCGGTTAGAGTATCAGCCTGCAGACCAGAGAGTCCCGGGTTCGGTTCCCTCTGAGGGCACGTACCTCCGTTGCGGTTTGTCCCCGGCCCCAGTTGGGGTCGTGTGGGTAGCAACCAGTCAATGTGTCCCTCTCCATGGATGCTTCTCTCTCTCTCTTCCTCCTTCTCTCTGAAGATAAATGCAAAAATGTCATCCGAGAAAAAAAAAAAAGAAGAAAAAAAGAATGAAGCAGACCTGTCTGTATTAAGAACACCCCCAAAATATAAACATATACAGAGGCCCCTGAACTTATGATTGGATTACACCCTGATAAACTCATTCTAAGTTGAAAATATCCTAAATTGAAAACGTGGTTAACCCAGCCTACATTAAACGTACTCAGAACACTTACATTAGCCTACAACTGGGAAAAATAATCTAACACAAAGCCTGCTTGATAATAGTACTGAATCTCATATAATTTGTTGAATACTGTACCGAAAGTGAAAAACGGAACACTTGTATAGGTATTGCTTTCCCACTGTCAAGTCAAAAAATTATCTTGACAATCGTCAAGTCGGGGACAGTGTATTTATATACACATATGTAAACGTTACAAAAAATAAAAACGTCTGGCCAGTCAGACACACCAGTTAGTGGTGATTACATGGGGAAGGGCAGTCAACAAGGAGTGGAGCCAATCTACCACCAGCAACAGGTTCATTCATGTTCAACCAAACAGTATATCCCTGACTCAGAGGCCAAAGGAAAAGACGGAGCTCGATTCAGCATGTCTGCAGCCATTCACCACAGCACCCCACCTGGGGCTTCCTCTGTCCACCTTTTTTTAAGACACCAATTCTTAACCAACCAGTCAGCCCATTCCCTGCCAGGACTTCCATGTGCCTGGTTCTCACCTGAAAAGGTGTCTTGAGGAATTCCTCTCTCCTCCGACCAGAGCTCTTCCTCCTCCTCTAACTGAGATACCACATCTGGCTTGGAAAGCTGATGTTCTGCCCAAGGGAAAAGAGACAGGGCTTGGGGGTCTGTGTTCGGAAGAAAATGCTTTCTTGCTGTGGCACACGCTGTCCTCTAGGGGAACGTGACTTCTGGTCTAGGCAGTGAATGACAACCCACACATAGCCTTTGTCTGCTGCTTGATTTCCTGGACTCCCTTGCTGGTAAAGGTGTCAGTGGGACCTAGTTCTGGCCAGCAAGTTACAAAGGGAAGTTTGTTAGCAGGGGCCACAGGACTTTTTCCTTTTTGCTAAATGTGACAGCTATAAAAACAGCACTAGTCTGGGCTGCCCCTTCCCCCACTTTCTGGTTTTAACAGGGAAGTAATGCCGGTGCCAAAATGATGCAGTTACTAACAGAAGAATGGAAAAGTTCACACCGCAGAGATGGAAGGGATCAGGGTCTGTGATGCAACTGCTAAACTGTTGGACACTGACACCATGTCCTCTGGAATTCCTGAGACCATCTCCCCAGTATTCAAAGCCTCTGAGAGTTGAACTAGGTGACGATTCAGAAGTCACATGTGAAGGTGCCCTTTCCCCATGGGTACAAAGTAAAGCCCTCTCCCTCAAAGTCCAGGGCCTTGACCCTTGCACTCTGACCCCTGCAGCAGCCTGAGCCCAAGCAGACACACACTTCAGTGGCACCACAATGGTACAGCAAAGCACAGATCTTTATTGACATGAAGGCCATCCTTACCCACGGAGACCAGGTTTCTGTAGTTCTCCAGCATCACCTGTCTGTACAGGGACTTCTGTTCAAGGTCCAGCAGTCCCCACTCCTCTGGGTCAAAACCCAGGATCACATCTTCAAAAGTCACTGGTTCCTAAAACCCACAGGTTCCTGTTCAGCCAGGGCCTGTCATTCTCACTGACAGGACTTGGGTGACTAAGAACAGAAAGGCAAAGTCTATAAGATGACCTGAGAACATTCCAGGGGTCTCATCATGGGTTCCTGTGTCTGTCTATCACAGCAAGGTGGACAACACATGAAGCTGAAGAGGGTTCTGAATTTTCTGAAAACCTCCTTATTTCTTATTAATCTGAGAATTTCAACACTCATATCAGCCTGTATGTCTCCTCCTAGGGATTTCCTTGTGCTAAATCATCTTACCCAAGCCTTCAGCCCCCACCCACTGCCAGAACTGCTTCTATTGCCAAGGATCCACCTTTTCTCCTAGTGGCTGAGCTCATGTCACCTCCTGCTTTGATGCCAGAATAGCTGTTCAAATCTAAATATGAGTCTGATCCCTGCACAGACCTGTCAAAGTCTCCCCCTAGTTTGAGAAATAAATCATAGAGCCCTGACTGGTATGACTCCGTTGGCTGGGCGTCTCCTAGTGCACCCAAAGGTTGCTGGTTCAATTCCCAGTCAGGGCACCTGTCCGGATGTCTGGCTTAATTTCCGGTAGGGGGCGTGCAGGAGTCAGCCAACCAAGATTCAGCTCTCAAATAAATGCTTTTACCCCTCTCTTCCTCTCTCCTCTAGCTCTAAAAATAAAAAATATTGAAAGAATGATAAATTAGAATCCCCGATCAATGACCTCTACAGTAACCACTCCCTTGGAAAGATTAAGCAGCCTGCGGCGGCTCCACCCAGCGAGGTCTCAAAGGTCCGGTCCCTTCCCCAGGTGCCGTTCCTCCACCTCCCGCCCCAAACTCAGGGGTGCACTAAAACTCAGAGGCCTCTACTCACGTGGAACCAGGCCATCGGAAGCCCGGAGGCCATACCTTCCTCTTCGAAATGTCTCGAGGGTATGAGCAAAATCCTGAGAGGATGGAATTTGGGAGATGGGAGGGGTGTGAGGGCTACGCCCAGAGGCCCCTCCCTCTGCCCTGAGGCAGCAGTCCACCCCCACCTCGGAAAACGCCCTGACGGGGTCTTCACCTACTCCCAGACACAAGGACCCCCGTTTCCCCGAGCGACAGGATATTCCCTCCCATGTTCCTTATCTAGTGGGAGTGGACTTCTGTACTTAGTCCGCCCACGCTCGGGGCGAGGGTGGGGATGTCGGCCGGCCCACGCCCGCAGGGAGTTGCCTTCTTTATGGGCCCCCAGTCACTGACCAAAGCGCAGCGGCGGGAGGACAGGAGGCAAGGCCAGCACCACAGTCCCCGACGTGATTTCGCGCCGTACTCACCCGCGCGCACAATGGCGCCGGTCGCCCCGCTGCGAAGTGCGTCAGCACGCTTGACCGGACTACAATTCCCAGACACCCCCGCGGTGCGCCGCGTCGGGGCGCTCACAAGCGGCGGCCATCTTGCCCAGCCAACTCTGGGCGGCAGGCGAAGCCAAAGTGGCCAGAAAGAGACCTCTCACTCATATTCCCTGGGGGTCTAGCCGGGCAAGGGGAGACCTCGGCTGGGGCACACCAGGCTGCAAAGCCCCAACCCCTTGTGCGGGCAGCGATGCAGGCGGGGGGACAGTATTCCCCAGCCAAGAGATCGTCCACGCGTGGGGTGAACCGGAAGTTGGATAAAGAGAAGGCGCGGGGCAGCACAGTGTGCCGGAAGTACTGAGTGGGTTAAAGTTGGTTGATGGGGGGCTGGGACTGATTGTGGTAGAAAGAAGGGCGGGTAGGACCGGAAGCGTTGGGGGTGTGCTACCAATATGGGTGATGTAAAGTGGAAGGGGCGGAAACGGGGCGGGGAATCTGTAGGATGCAGAGCTACTGTCCACCAAGTTCTGGAGATTGGAGGTGGGGCGGGCAGGAAGTGGGGGCGGGGCTAAAGTTCTTCCAGATTCCTGGAAGAGGGAGTCACAGTTGACGGAAGTGTGGGGGGGACAGTGCTAAAAGTGCCTCCAGGACTAATGGAGAGAAAAGGGCCGTGGCTGGGAAGACAGGAAGTGTGCTGGAGACGTGACTAAAGTCAGTCCACGGTCTTGGGACTTTGTCGGAAGTGCGTCCTCCAAGCTCAGGGAGGGGAGGAGGGACGTGCCTAAATATGTAGGTTTTGTGGGGAGAAGGGCAGAGTTCACTGTGACCTAGGCACTGGGGTTGGGGAGGGTGGATCTTGTCAGAGATAAACCAGAGCTGGACAGAAGTTAAAGCTGTGAAAATTGATTTTATTCAATAAAAGTATTTTAACAGGGGAAGACAAACTTCATTCTGAAACCTGGCTTAATTATGAATACAATCAGGACAAGTTAGGATTTACTGACAAGGAGCAACTTGGATTGGGACTGTGGTGGGGGAACGGGGGCGGGAAGGAGGTGTTGGTGGATAGAAAGTTAAAAGAGGGGGACATCAGTGTTACCTGAAAGGGTACCTGGCCCTGAGTGGGTCTCCTTATGGTGGGGCCAGTAGTGTGTGGGTTATTGACTCGGTGCAAGAAGTTTCACAACACGGGTTCAGGTAAATTTTATTATTTTTAATTTATCTTTATGTCTTTATCTCCTTCCAACTCCCGCCCCCTCTGCCTTTCCCACACTAGTGTGTGTCCATTGGTTTGCATATGCATATAAGTTCTTTGGTTTATCTCTTAACGACCCCCTTCCCCTTCCCTTTGAGGTTCTTCAGTCTAACAACCAATTTGTACTTCTTAAGCCCTTCACATTTTCACCCATCCCCCCAACTGCCTTTCCATTTGGAAACCAACAAAAAGTTCTCTGTATCTATGAGTCTGTTTTGGTTCTGCTTGCTCATTTTGTTTGTAGATTAAATTGATAGACATATATTTATTGCCATTTTATTGTTCATATTTTGATCTTACTCAAGAAGACCCTTGAACATAATACTGGTTTGATGATGATGAACTCTTTTAGCTTTTTTTGTCTGGGAAGCTCTTTCTATGCCCATTGTAAGAACGAGGCGGAACGAGGTGGTGCAGAGTCTCCAGAAGTGCAGGTTTATTGGGAATTAGCTTGCCGGACTACCTCTAAGGAGAAAATAGCAACCGGCTCATCCAGACTAAGGGTTTTTAAACTTAGGGCTGGGGGTTGGTCGTTCAGTCGAGGAGATGTGGTTGTCTTTGATCCGTAGGGCCTAGGGTCTTCCGAGTTCTTGATTGGTTGGGGGCTGGGGTCTCCTGAAACTTGTTTTTCTTGTGGAGCAACCATTGGTTTCTTGGAATGAGAGACTTAGGGCAGTAATATGGAAGTCAAGAGCTAACACCCATCAATTTTAAATGATAGCTTTGCAGGATAGAGTAATCTTGGTTGTAGGTCTTTGCTTTTCATCACTTTGAATATTTCTTGCCACTCCTTTCTGCTCTTCAGTTTCTTTTGTGAAATCAGTTGACAGCCTTATGGGAGCTTCCCTTATAAGTAACTAACTGCTTTTCTCTTGCTGCTTTTCAGATTCTCTCTTTGTCTTCAACATTTTGCATTTTGATTATGATGTGTCTTGGTGTAGGCTTCTTTGGGTTCATTTTGTTTGGGACTCTCTGTGCTTCCTGGACTTGTATGTCTGTTTCCTTCATCAAGTTAGGGAAGTTTTCTATCGGGTATTTAATTTCTTGCTCTCTCTCTTCTCCTTCTGGCACCCACATGATGTGTATGTTGGTTCACTTGAAGTTGTACCAGAGGCTCCTTACACTATCTTCATTTTTTAAAATTATTTTTTCTTTTTGCTGTTCTGATTGGGTGTGTTTTGGTTCTTTATGTTCCAAATCGGTGTTTTGATTCTTGGCTTCACCTACTCTACTGTTATCTGTAAATTATTTTTTATTTCAGTTAGTGCATCCTTCATTTCTGACTGGTCTTTTTTTATGCTTTTGAGGTCCTCACTAAGTTCCTTGAGCATCCTTATAACCAGTGTTTTGAACTCTGCATCTGTTAGATTGCTTATCTCCATTTTGTTAGTTCTTTTCCTGGAGTTTTGTTCTGTTCTTTCATTTGGGACATGTTTCTTTGTCTCCTCATTTTGGCTGCCTCCCTGTATTTGTTGCTGTGTATTAGGTAGAGTTGCTATGTCTCCTAGGCTTGGTAGGGTGCCCTATTATAGTAGTTGTCCTGTAGGGTCCAGTGGCACAGCCTCCCTGATCACCCCAGCTGGGCACACAAGGTACACCCTTCTGTTGTAATTGAGTCTTTTTTGTTGTTGTTAATCCTCACTTAAGGATATTTTTCCATTGATTTTTTTTTTTTAGAGAGAGTGGAAGGGAGGGAGGAAGAAAGAGAGAGAAACGTCGATGTGAGGGAGACACATCAATTGGATGCCTCCCGCATGACCTTGACCAGGGGCCATGGATCAAATCTTGACCGAAATTGAACATGCAACCCTTTGGTCCATAGGCCGACACTCTAACCACTGAGTCAAACCAACCAGGGCTGTAATTGAGTCTTGATTGCTGTTGGCACATCAATGGAAGTGATTTATTCGGGTTGATCAGCTGCAAGGACTGGCTGTGAATACTGACCACCTTCGACTTACTTCAGCAGGGCTCTAGTATCCACTGAGTCCATCTCTTGAGTGTGTTGCTTGTGGAAGTGTTTGGGTGGTGGCGCTTCAGTGTGGTCTGAAGCTGTCCACTGGATGTACTGACTCTGGGGCCTCCCAGGAGATGCAGGCTAAGCTCAGCCATTGCCTGTGTTCTACCCTGGGCCACCTCGCATAAGCTACAAAGCGATCTGCAGATGGCCGCTCCTTGTGCTGAGGTTGGAGGTGCCCAGGTAAGGCCAAGCTGTAAACCAAGGCTAGTGCAAGGACTCGGGCCTCTTAGCAAGAGGTACAGGCCTCTCTGAGACCCGATGCTGCTTGTTTGAGAGATTTTAGGAAAGTTCAAAACATGAGCCAAGGCAGGCCATTCCTATGGTAAGCCACAGGAAACAGCTTGGGTGGGTCTGAAATTTGCGTGGGGCAGGGCCTCAGGGAATAACCAGGGTGGGGCAAACAGTGTGTGCCAGGTTGCTGGAGTCCCAGATATGGCACCTGTCTGCCAGCGCTGTAGGGGAAGGGATGACCAAAGGAACAAGGGCCTCTACCAGCATGTCTATCCGGAAGAAAGCAGCCTTCCCGGCTTTCGCCCCGATGCTAAATAACTCAGTTCTTGTCTGTATGTCTCTGGTGCCTTTCAAGCTCCCTCCCCTGTGCTGGAGCCCAGAGGGAGCAAATCTGATTAAGTCCATGCCCAGGCTCTTTAAGGGGAAGGCCTACAACTCCAGCAGCCTCAACCTCCCTCAGCCTCAATCCCCTCTGGTTTTTACAGTTAGAAGTTATGGGGCGGAGGGGGGGGGGAAGCCCTGGCCGGTTTGGTTAAGCAGTTAGAGCGTCGGCTTGCGGTCCAGAGAGACCCAGGTTCAGTTCCTGCTGGGGCATGTACCTCGGTTGCAGTTCGTCCCCGGCCCTGGTTGGGCCCTGCGGGAGGCAGCCACTTGATGTGTCCCTTTCACATCAAATGTGTCTCTCTCTCTCTTCCTCTCTTTACTTCCCACTCTATCTAAACAAAAAGTGGAAAAATGTCCTCGGGTGAGGATTAAAAAAAAAAAAGAAGAAGTTATGGAGACATCTCTTCCTGGCACTGGAACCTTGAGCTAGGGGACCTGGTGTGGGCCTGGGACCCCTTGCTCCTCAGGGATGACCTTCACAGCCGAGGTATCTCTCTTCATTTTTATCCACCACACGTGAGTGTGGGACTAGCCCTTCCATGCCTCCACCCCTCCTACCAGTCCTGATGTGGCTTCTTTAATTTCATAGTTGTAGGACTTACATTCAGCTTAATTTTAGATGGTTCTGAATGACGGTTCTGTAGTTTAGTTGTGATTTAAAAAAATTTAAAAATTTTGTTTTAATTTTTTTAAATTGATTTTAGAGAGAGGGGATGGGAGAGAGAGAGATAGAAACATCGATGAGAGAGAACAATGATTGGCCACCTCCTGCATGCCCCCCACAAGGGATTTAGCCCACAGCCTGGGCATGTGCCCTGACCAGGAATTGAACTGGCGACCTCTTGGGGCATGGGTCGATACTCAACCACTGAGCCACACTGGCCAGGCTAGTTTTTATTTTAATGTGGTTGTGGGAGGAGGTGAGTACTGTGTTTGCTTACACCTCCATCTTGACCAGAAGTTTTACACAAGTCCAGGTGTATTGTAAAAAACATTTATTAAAGCTCGGGAGAGTGGCCCTGGCCGGTTTGGCTCAGCGGTTAGAGCGTCAGCCTGCAGTCCAGAGAGACCTAGGTTCAGTTCCCGCAAAGGGCCCATACCTTGGT